AAAGACCCCAAATCACCAAGGGTATGCTGAAAAAGAAAAGCAAAGCTGGCGGCATCACAATTCCAGACATCAAGCTCTATTACAAAGCTGTCATCATCAAGACAGTATGGTACTGGCACAAAAACAGACTCATAGATCAATGGAACAGAATAGAGAGCCCAGAAATGGACCCTCAACTCTATGGTCAACTCATCTTTGACAAAACAGGAAAGAATGTCCAATGCAAAAAAGACAGTCTCTTCAACAAATGGTGTTGGGAAAATTGGACAGCCACATGCAGAAGAATGAAACTGGACCATTTCCTTACACCACACACAAAAATAGACTCAAAATGGTTGAAAGACCTAAATGTGAGACAGGAATCCATCAAAATCCTAAAGGAGAACACAGGCAGCAACCTCTTCGACCTCAGCCACAGCAAGTTCTTCCTAGAACCATCGCCAAAGGCAAGGGAAGCAAGGGCAAAAATGAAGTATTGGGACCTCATCAAGATAAAATGCTTTGCACAGCAAAAGAAACAGGCAACAAAACCAAAAGACAACCGACATAATGGGAGAAGATATTTGCAAATGACAGATCAGATAAAGGGCTAGTATCCAAAATCTATAAAGAACTTCTTTAACTCAACACCCAAAGAACAAATGATCCAATCAAGAAATGGGCAGAAGACATGAACAGACATTTTTCCAAAGAAGACATCCAAATGGCCAACAGACACATGAAAAAGTGCTCCACCATTGTTCATCATCAGGGAAATCCAAATCAAAGCCTCAGTAAGATACCACCTCACACCAGTCAAAATGGCTAAAATTGACAAGTCAGGAAACGAGAGATGTTGGCGGGGATGCGGAAAAAAGGGAACCCTCCTATACTGTTGGTGGGAATGGAAGCTGGTGCAGCCACTCTGGAAAACAGTATGGAGGTTCTTCAAAAAGTTGAAAATAGAGCTACCATATGACCTAGCATTTGCACTACTGGGTATTTGCCGCAAAGATACAAATGCAGGGATCCCTAGGGTACGTGCACCCTGATGTTTATAGCAGCAATGTCTACAATAGCCAAACTGTGGAAAGAGCCAAGATCTCCACCGACAGATGAATGGATAAAAAAGAAGTGGTATATATATACAATGGAATATTATGCAGCCATCAAAAGAATGAAATCTTGCCATCTGCAACAATGTGTATTGAACTGGAGGGTATTATGCTGAGCGAAATAAGTCAATCAAAGAAAGACATGTATCATATGACCTCACTGCTATAAGGAATTCTTAATCTCAGGAAACAAACTGAGGGTTGCTGGAGTGGTGGGGCCTGGGAGGGATGGGGTGGCTGAGTGATAGACATTGGGGAGGGTATGTGCTATGGTGAGCACTGTGAATTTTGTAAGACTTTTGAATCATAGACCTGTACCTCTGAAACAAATAATACATTATATGTTAAAAAGAAAAAAAGAAGATAGTAGGAAGGGAGAAATGAAGAGGGGGGAAATCGTTGGGGCAGATAAACCATGAGAGACTATGGACTCTCAGAAACAAACTGAGGGTTCTAGAGGGGATGGCGTTCGGGGTATAGGTTAGCCTGGTGATGGGTATTAAAGAGGGCACTTACTGAATGGAGTACTGGCTGTTATACACAAACAGTGAATCCTGGAACACTACATCAAAAACTAATGATGTAATCTATGGTGATTAACATAACACAATAAATTTTTTTTTACATGAAGGATATCCTGCCATTTACAACAACAGGATGGACCTTGAGGGCAGCATCCTTAAAGAAATAAGTCATATAGAGAAAGATAAATACTATATTATCTCACATATATATGGAATATATGAAATCTAAAAAAAAAAAAAAAACCTCATAAATACAGAGAACAGATCTGTGTATCCCAGAGGTGGGGTGTGAGTGTGGATGAAATAGGTGAAGGTGATCCACAGGTACAAACTTCCATTTATAAAAGAATAAATCCGGAGGGATAATGTACAGCATGGTGACCATAGTGAACAATAACATATTATATATTTGGACGCTGCTAAGAAAGTAGATGTTAAAAGTTCTCATTAGAAGAAAAAAATGTAACTTTGTGTCGATGGATGTTAACTAAACTTATTCTGGTAATCATTTTGCAACAAATACATATATCAAATCATTATGTTGTACACCTAAAAGTAATACAATTTATATGTCAATTATATCTCAATAAAAATTTTAGAAAGGGAAAAAAAGAAATAGAGATAGTTAAGATAGATGGGATATGAAAAGGTCCACATTAGTAAATTCTAATACAGACAGCAAGCTTCTGTACTCTAAGGGCTAAATTCTGAGCATTTGTAAGAGAGATTCAGGAAAGGCTCTGCAATCTCCCTATCAGGTCAAATGTTCAAAGACGTCACTGATCCACTGTGGGACTCAGGAAAACAATACTCCAGAACAGAGACAGGACCAGGAAAGAAGAAATGGGTTCTGAAAAAGTTCCTAGTCAAGTTACCATGGACTAAGAACTTTACTAACATAAAAACATGATGTATCCTTAGCAACCAAAGCACACTGTAAGGGAATTAATTGACTCATTTTTGTTAAAGACTGCTCTGGCTATCTAGGCAGCTCCAAACAGCTGACCACTCAGAAATGGAGCTAACACCCAGTTTCCCCTTCCTAGGGCATTCTCTCATTCCTTTCTTTGATAATTATAGTCAACACCATGCTCAAGGTCCAGAGGTGAGTTCTCAGCTCTGACTCTAACATTCTACCCCAATCATGGCACCTGATTCTCATATTTTACCTCTCACTATAGCTAAGGTAGGCTGGCATTAAACAAAACAACAAAAAATGTTTGATGTTTCTAAAAGAACAAAAATAAAGAACTATATAAAATACAAAATAAACAGCAAAATAAGTTACTGTAGTCCTTCTAAAGTCACTAAAATTGGCTTTGCTACTCCTCTGACTTCATTAACATTCCCTTACCTTTCTGGGAATGTCCTGCCCAAACAAATTGTTAGATTGTTCATTACAGGAACTTCCTGAAATATCCATCAACTCTTCAGTGAAAAACACCCTATGAGTCTTTCAATCCCTCATTTAAAATCTTCAGTTTGCTATTTCCATCTATCTTGTGTTGGCATATCATGTTTACCCACTCCTAATCAAGTTGCCACTGAAAGGCCCACCTTAAATCAAACTTCCAATTCTCAATAAATTCTGGCCTTTCTTTTACCTCACCTGAGACATTGCTGAAGTTTTGTAGAAGTGGTATTCACCCTTATTGTGGGAAGCAATAAAATCAGCTTTGTCTTCTTAAATGGTTATGTGATGATTTGGAGGAGCCAACTATTAATAGCAACTTTAGAGCTATAAACAGAACATCAGGACATCTTTTCTCAAAGGGTCTCCATTTCTATAAAGCTTTTGCTGTCACCACACTGCATTTGCATGGAGGTCAGGGTGCAGTATGTTAGTGCAGCAACATTATCTTAAGCATCTCATGGGAGGCTGACTGTACAGAGTTGTTCTGGCTTCTGTGAGATGGGACATCTATTAAGGGATGGAGGGTTGTATTTCAACTTGCCCAAAATGGCATTGCCAGGGGGGGAAAAAAAAGGCAATCCTATCCTGAGTGATAGAGTAAATAAAAGCTATAAAGAACTGGAAAATGGGCAAGGGGGCGCCGGGGTAGCTCAGTCAGTTAATCGTCCGACTCTTTCAGCTCATGTCATGATCTCAGGGTCCTGGGTTCAGCCCAGTGTGGGGCTCCACGCTCAGCATGGAGTCTGCTTGAGATTTTCTCCCTCTCTTTCTGCCTCTCCCCCTACTCACACACTCTGTCTCTAAAATAAATAAATCTTTTTTTAAAGATTCTATTTATTTATTTGACAAAGAGAGAGAGATAGCTAGAGAGGGAACACAAGCCTGTGAATGGGAGAGGGAGAAGCAGGCTTCCCGCTGAGCAGAGAGCCTGACGTGGGGCTCGGTACCAGGACCCTGGGATCATGACCTGAGCCGAAGGCAGATGCTTAACGACTGAGCCACCCAGGCACTCCTAAAATAAATAAATCTTCAAAAAAAAAAAAGAACTTGAAAAAGACCAAATAAATGCCTTTCTCTGTGACACCCAGGGCCAGAGAATATTTATTTATTCCCCATCTGTAGGACCAGACCTGAGTCAAAGCAATGAGGCCATTTTGTAGCCCTGTGAGTATTCCAGAGACACAGGAGACAGATGCACTATTCTGGGTTGGGTTGACATTGCCAGCATACTGAGTCATTACCTATCCCAGGATATTGGACATATTTTAAGCACATTCTAAGGCCCAAAAGTCTTCTCTTGATTGAATAGCAAAGCTCATGAGAGCATTGATGGAATGCAGAAGTAGGGATACAGGTAAGTGAAGTGAGTCTTAAAGATGAAGAGGGATAAGGATGAATTTTTGGGCAAAGCAATCATCTATTCTAGAACCTGCTGTTGAAAACAGATACTGGAAAACTGTTCAGGTGGTGTTTTCTCTTTCTTTTTTCCCACCCTTGCTGAAGGAATTCCTAGGGAGACAGGGGAAAAATAAGACAATGTGAATGAATAAATTTAAATTAGTGCTCCATAGGTGGTGATAGCTTGTCAGCTCCTAAGCTTTATCAAACTGAGGAGAATCTAAGTTGGTATTTCATACCTTTACTCTCAGACAACACACACACACACACACACACACACACACACACACATGCTGAAAATAAAGACTACCTGGTTTGCCAATCTTCTTCTGTAGACTACTAATTTAAACAGCATCTTTTCAGGTCCCTATCTATATACTTTCTATTGCCAGACTTAGGAGACAATTTGAGGATCTGAACATCTTATTGGGTCCGAACTCTGATGTCTCTGTTTCTTCAGTTGGAAATTGGTCTAATACTTATATTTTTTGGTGAAGATTAAATAAAATAACATATGTAGATTCTATAACACATGGACACAAAATCGGTGCTTTAAAAATAGTAGTTCCCATCGCTTCTCGGCCTTTTGGCTAAGATCAAGTGTAGTATCTGTCCTTATCAGTTGAAAAATAGTAGTTCCCTCTCATTTACCCACTCTCAAGATTATGAGCATAAAACTATTTTCACAAAATGATGAAAGGCATTGTTTATGCACTACAGCCTGAACATAATCATACTTTCCACAAAGTATAGAATTTGTTTGAGACACATGCACCTATTCCTGGCAAAATAGTTGGAATCTTAAAAGCTTTTGCAACTGAGTCTTTCCAATGGCATCTGAATCTATTCCATGGGGATGAGCATTGAATTCATCACCTTGGAAAGAGGTAGAGTTCACCCATAATCTTCCCTGATTTATGAAGAGAGAAAAATTCTCTCCAAAGTATCAATAATAAAATCTTAAAATATCTACTCAAATCTCATCATACTTTTCCCTTACCAACTTCTTTCCTTCCCCACTGTATGAGAAATTGTGGCTAGGTATCACCAAGGACTTTTGTCTCCCCACCCGTTCCAAAAAAATCCCTAATACTATTTTTAAAACAGATATATTTAAATGAAGGGATTAAAATAACTTTAAATCAGAAGTAAAGACATATATTATCACATCCAAATTAATAATATCTTAACAAATTTTGATTATTTGTGGTTTTGAAAAAAGGAGCAACATTTTAAAAGTCATCTGTCCTCTGTTTGGTGCCAAACTGGAGCCTTAAGGAATTTGAAACAGTTGAAGGAATTTGAAACAGGTGAACTAGTAAATCTAGGATAAACAGTGTTTATGATGGAAACAATGACAGACCCTTTACCATAACACTACTGATAGAACTGAGCTCCCCCTAGGAGTGTGAAAATGGCAGATGGTACAGAAAAGAGCTAAGATTTATAAGTCTGGGTGTGTTTGAGGAATGGGGGTGGAAAGTGTGCATAGTAATTCAAATTCATCCGTCCTGAAAGGGAATATTTTGAAAAGGGGAAAGCTACTGGGAAACATTTTTTTTCAAGTCCTGTAGAAGGAGTGGGCACCACACCCCACTGTTATTTCTGTGTCTTCCTTCTCCCTTATTCTAATTTCCTAACCATCTCTCTCTTCCCATTTCCTCACTTCCTATAGTCCTCTAAGAGAATCTAGCAAGTTAGGGGTCTGATATATTTTTACATCTCTTTGTAAGAGTGAAATGAAAGCATGATTAAGTCCCTCTGTTCCCCCTTCATCCTCCCTGCTTCTTCATTTTACCTAGTCTTCCTAATAATAATTAGGTCATTTGAGAATTGAATCACCCTATTCCTACCCAGGGCCTTTTCTTATAGCAAATTCCCAAGAAAAAAGAAAGGTTTTTCTCTTCCGTGTGATTTTTGAACAATCACTGATTAGTCAGCCTTGACAGCTGTTAGAAAATCTTGGTGTATCCTGAACATTCCTATTGATTAGCTGATATATGACCTGGGATTTGGCTGAGCTGATTGCTTTATCACTAAAGCATTCAAGAAGTTCAGATTAGTTAGGCATCCCTGTAAACTCCCATTTATCCAGAACTCAAACTGCCAGAAAGTCCAAAGAGTCAGAATTATTTCCAGGAAATAATTAACAGAAAGGAAGGTGTCCAAAGTGCTTTCTGAATCTCCCATTACTCCCTCTATTCCTTCCTCCTTTTTTTTTTTTCTTACAACAAGCATTAACTAAACGCTCACTACATTGCTGAACACCGGACTAGGCTGTGGTTATAGAAAGATCCATAACACGTAGTCCCTGTCCTTGAAGAGCCCACAATGTAATGAGGAAACTGACATGCAATAGATAACTATAATACAATGAATTAAGTGCAATGATAGAAAGGTGCCTGTGGGGCTGTCGCATTACAAAGGAGATGTCATCTTTTTGCCAAATTAAACCATAAAAGCCTTTTGATTTGGTTCTAATCCTTGGGAAATAGATGGTCAGTGTATCAGAGAAGAATGAACACTGGTGGGGGAGCTAACTATGTGTGGGTTCACAGTCTGACTCTGCTATGTATTAACTGTGTAAACCAGCTGTCACATTTCTGAAAGTCACTCATTATTTCTGAGCTTTGCTTTCTTCTTATGTAATATATTACTTGCCTCACATGCATTGTCTTCTTGGTTTCTTATAAGAGCAGTAGTATTTATCCTGACCAAAGCAGAAATCACAGTCCAGAAAAATTGAACTTGCTTAAGTATACCCAGTTTGTTTGTGGCAGATTGGCTGACGCCAAGTCTACTGTTTTTTTCCCTGCCTTTTTTCAGTGAACCCATAAAGGTCACTAAACTACATTTATTATGAAGGAAGCAGGCATCATTTTGGGAAGATTTTCAATCCTGAGAGGTAAAACAAATGGGATTCCTCAGTTTATGATAGTACCTCATTAAATAGAATCCTTCTTCAATCATACCCTCTCCCACCACACACACAATCCCTGATCCTTCCTGTTAATATATATATATATATATATATATATATATATATATATATATATATAATGATCTTTATGATTTTTTAAAAGATTTTATTTATTTTATTTATTTTATTTCTTGTAGTTATTTGACAGAGAGAGAGACAGCGAGAGAGGGAACACAAGCAGGGGGAGTGGGAGAGGGAGAAGCAGGTTTCCAGCTGAGCAGGGTGCCCGATGTGGGGCTTGATCCCAGGACCCTGGGATCATGACCTGAGCCAAAGGCAAATGATTAACCCACTAAGCCACCCAGGTGTCCTGATCTTTATGATTTTTAAGCAGAACTTTCAGTTCTATATTTGGTCCATAAGTCCAGACAGTACAAAAGCTTATTAATCAGTGGTTTGGAAAACAATTGCTCCAGCCATGCCTTGTTCTCTTTCTTTCACTATATTGGCAAGAAGTGCAATGGAAGACACTTGGAGTTTCTTTGATTCTCTTGTCTCCTAATGCCTACTTCGCATGTGTACATGCCCTGGCTAACCTTGGCAACTGACTGCCTACATATAAAGTCAAAAGTCAGGGGAAAAAAAACTACCTTAATGATTCTTATGAACTGTACCCCTTTAATTAAAAAAAAAACTGAAAAAATCCCCTTTGAAAATGTGCTTATATCAGAAGACAAGCAGTATCTCCATACTGGTAAAATGATGGCAACAATTTTAGGTTAGTGAACTGGAATGAAGAATACCTGCATTGTCTCTGATGATCCTGGCATTTGGGAATAGTGATAAATGACTGGAGGTTATTAGACCTGTCCTGCAAAATGGTGCTGGTGAGTTGGAACTTGAAGTTTGTCATTTGAGAAAGGAAACTGACTTCCCCAATTGGACCTAATTATGACAGCCATGATAAATAGTCTTTCCATGTTGGCATGTTTATTTCTCAGGAAACTGAACAGGGAAATTGGTTTTATGCATTTGTGTGGATGGGAAGAATTGCAATTTTTATCATGTCTTATAACAAATTTATCACCCGATAATCTGAAGGTATGATCAAATTGCAAAAGCAGATGACGTCCCCAGTCTCCTAAGCATTTGATGTCTGTTAAGCAAGAAGAATATTAATCAGAAAATGAAAGGGAATTTTCTCTTCCTTTATATTCAGAATGATCCTTTGCTAGGTAAACCTCTCTTCAGCATTCAAATCATCATATTCTTTGCCTTATACTTGACAACTTCATATTTGCCAATAGGGTTCTTCAGGACACTTAAAGAGGGAAGAGAAAGTGTAAAAGTTTCATTTTTTAATCAATTTTTCTCAGTTTGGTTAAAGAAACATGCTAGTTCATTTCTCAGTGCTTTCAAGTTTTCATTCCAATTTACTGAGGGAGAAAATGAAATCCATAGAGATCTCTGCTAAATATGGCAGCAAGTTGTCTTACACTCCAGTCTTTACTAGGGTGTACAGCTTAATCTTAATGATTTAAATGATTAATCATTTAATACTTATTAGATAGGCAAAGTATTATGCTAATATGTTGGCTCAATAACCCTGGACCTTAAGCAAGTTATCTGAATGTTTGAAAGTCAGTTAATTCAACTGTACAATGAGAATAGTCAGATCCACAGGACAGGATCTATATGATTGAATTATGCAATATATGTGAAAGCATGGTGTCTAGCATGTGGTACGTTTTGATAAATGCTAAACAAGAAAGAAGTGCAACATAAAATGATTTGAAAACTATCAGTCACAACTAAAATGTCAGTGATCATCATTCTTTCTCTGAGTTCTTGTATCTAGGAAACAATAATAATAATAATAATAATAATAATAATAATAATAATAAACCAGAACCCAGGAAAGGCATACCATGGGTTCTTTTGATTGTACCTTAAGTCCAGTTCTAAATCTAGGCAAAAACCAGGTTGTGTGAATCCCACCTCACATTTGCAGTTGGTGTCCATGATCCCTGGATTTAACTCGGGCCTGGACTGGAAAGAGATTCTACCTTGCCTCTGGGATTCCCTATATAGGGATTATTTTAGAATGTCAGGTATCTCCAAAGGATCTTGGGGTCATACTAGTAGCACAAGTCACTAATGGAGTGGAGAAAGAAATGCTACAGGTCTCCATCTGGCCTCCACAGGAAGAAACAAAAATCAGATCAAACTCTATATTTCTGCTTCAACTAGGTGGCACCCAGAGGCTCACTGTTGTACAATCACTCTTGTACCTTGAATATAACATAAAACTGTACTTTCCCAGACATGTTTCTCAGGCCTCTCAGAGGACCACCAGCTCAAAACTGCTTTTTCCCCCCTAAAGATACCTGGAAAATCTTATTTTGCTATGTGTACATGAGGGAAAATAAAGAGCTTCCTGGCATGCAGGTGTAATAATTGGGAATGCTTCAATGTTCTTCAGAGGCTAATGGGATAGCATAACTTGTTTGCAATCAAAGATCACCACATTAATCAAAACTTCAGCTATTCAATGCTTTCTTCTTTATCTGAAGAGGCCCACCCTGAATGCCAAACAATTCTTACTTTTCCATAGTATTGGTGGAGAATCACAAAAATTCTAAAGGAGGCAAATTATATAAATTCATTCATATCTGGCTTTGAGATGTATGAAATTTGTACATTTTTTTTTCTTTGCTGTAGCTTTACCTTCTGGGATTTTGTTTAGGTTAATGATAAAATTAGTAGTTTTGCTAATGAGAATTGTGGGGTTACAAGACTTAAAATGTTGGATCTGGGGCATTCTGAACTGGTAGCAGCTAATCAGTAG